CGACCATGTTTTGTCCCAAAAAGGGTGACCCGACAACTATTGTATCCTCATCATTTGTAGGGACCCTAGCCTTGGCCATAAGCTTTGTGATAAGGGCCGGAAAGACTAGGCGTGAATGCGTCCTTTGAGAGGCGGCCAAAATAGATGCATGTATAATCGGCTCGAGGTCGATTGGCAACTCTCTCATGATACAATAAAGGATGACGCATCGGTCCCTTGAGATTGTACTATCATGAATAATGGGGATTAAGTTGTATCGCAAAAACTGAAAGCAAAGTCCTGCCTCCTTGTTGAGATGGCCGGCCAAAATAATTTGGCGCCGGTTGTCCCTCGACCATCCATGATCGGGGAGCGTAAGGAGGGATGCGAGATCATCATCGGAAACTTCTAACGTCCCTTTCATAATCTGAGCAAATGAGCATTTCGGTGGGGGAATGAGTCCAAGGGCCGGATTAAGCTTTGGCTCCGACCAATCAATTTTCTTGCCCCGAATAGTCACCGAAATACTTTTGGTGGTGCCAATGGCCGCATAGAACTCGGTTACCCAAGAGACATTGGCCTTTAATGGGGCAACCACCATATGTTCCCATTGCAAAGCTACCAGTGGTGCTTGATAGCCATAAAAGTGTTGACCAACTTCGGGTCAAAGGCCCTTTCAAGAAGAATTTTATTGTTTTTAATACGGTCATACCTCTATTGAAATGGTACCTCTTTGTCTTTCTTTTTCTTGGGGGCTGGTTTCTTCTTCCGCTTCGTTGCTGCCTTTCTCTTTTTGCAGGGTTTTGGTTTACTGACTTCCAAAACCACCATTTCTTGAACTTCCTCTTCAATTTCCTCCATCTCCTCAGTTTCATCTGCAACATCTTCAACATTCTCTAAATCCTGAGCCATCTCATCTTCATAATCACTGTCTCCAGGCACTAGTTTGGTAATCAGTTGTGGAACAACAGACTCTGAGCTTGAACTTGCAATGTTTTTTGATGAGGATTATGTTCTCACAGTCTGCCCACTGGGGGAAGTGACTGGTGTTTCCTCAATAGGAGGAGCATCTACTATTTGAGTCTCTGGGGGTTGCTGTGTTTGTTCTTCTTTTGTCTCAGGAACAGAAAAAGGGAACAAATCTTCTGGATTCGCGGAAGCATTATCTTCAAAATCAAATTGGAACTCCTCCCCTAGGGTATCACTAAGGTTGAGGTCAAAGTCATGTATGGTGGGTGGGCCGAGTGGTGTAGATAGAAGGGGTATAGGGGGCTGTTGAGTGGGTAGAGGGCTACTAGGCGGTGGAATGGGTGAAAGGGTAGGAAGGATAGGCGGTGGTGTGTAGGGCTAGAAAAAGGGGTTTATGGGTTGGAAGGGGAGAGGGTATGGCGACCGGCGGTCGTAAAGTAGACAGACCGGTGCCGGTGGTGGTGGCGGTATGTATAGTGGTGGAAAGGGGAAATATTGTAGTGAATAGAGGAGGAGTTTGAGTGACACTTACTGGTGTGACGACCGCATGAGACTCGTCGTAATCTACCCGGACAACCGATGAACGACCGGCGCCGGTGCTGGTTTTGAAAGGTCGAGCCGGCAGTTCAAATGCAATGGGATCGGGTGAGAGTGGTACAGATTGGGCCATGGAGAAAGCGACCGGTGGTGCGACGGGAACGGCGGAGGAAGACTCGCCGATGACAATCCGTCGAGTAGAGCACCGAGTAGGGAGCCGACCGGTTGGAGGTTTTCGTGATTTGGCCATGGAAGTGGAGAAGATGAATAGTGTAAAAATGATTTCCCCCCTTTTTCTTAGATACCCGGCGGTTAGAAACCTAGGGAACTGCCCCCCATGCAAAACCTTTTGTGTAAAGCTTTTTTTGAATAAAACAAAATTAAAAAGCGATTGTCTCATCATCTTACACAAGCCACCAAAATCAGAAAACTCATCATTTTCTTTCATTTTTAAAATCCCATTTCTTTTTCAAATTTCCCTTTTTCTTTTTCTGTGAAGATTATCCACAAAAACCCGCCAAATTCAAATTTTTACCAAAACCCACTTCAGAATGTGAGCATGAAATGCTTACCGAGAGCATATCTGCATGAAATAAACATAAAGTACGCAAATTAAAATATATACAATATTTACAACAGATGGATCAACGATCAATCAGAGAGATTTTTGGCGTGGATCTTGCATTCCTTCTCGGAAGAAATGTTTGACCCGATGTCCATTCACTTTAAAAACCGTATTGTCTAGTGGGTTCAAGAGATCGATACTTCCAAATTTTCCCACTTCAATAATAGTGAAAGGTCCCGACCATCTAGATTTGAGTTTTCCGGGGAAAAGTCTCAATCTAGAATTAAAGAGAAGAACTTTTTGACCTTTTWAAAAAATTCTCTGATTGATCCTACGGTCATGCCATATTTTCATATTTTCTTTGTATATCTTGGCATTCTCGTAGGCGTGGTACCTTCACTCTTCCAACTCATTGAGTTGGAGATTTCTTTTCTCTCCCACTAGAGTTGAATTTAAATTAAGTTCCTTAATAGCCGAAAATGCCTTATACTCCAATTCCAACGGGAGGTGACAAGATTTTCCAAAAACATGTTGGTACATAAACATGCCCAATGGAGTCTTAAAAGCGGTACCTCAAGCGTAAGGCCTCTTGTGTAACTCCGGGAATTTTAAAATGATCCTTCATTTCTATAAAAGATTTCAAATGAGAGTGCGGATCTTCAAAAGATAATCCCCCAAACTGACCCATTGCGGAAATCATTTGAAACATAACCGACTTGGGTTCAAAAGATGTTGTTGTCATTTCGGGCCTACCAATTCCCGAGGCCAATTGACCAAATTCGGGAGTTGCATAGTCTCGTATGCCTCTATTTTTGTCATCGGCAATGTTAACCGTGGCTTACCGACGAGGTGGATTATCCCCCATGGTACGATTTAGAGTGGGATTTCGCCGATTGTTTCTACCTCTTCTTCGCCTCCTAATGGTTCTTTCTAACTCGAGATCAAAAGGTAAAAGATCACCGTGTTGTAGCCGTGGCATACAACAGGAAAGACTCTAATGAAAATTAATATCACAGGAAAAAAATCGTGCCAGTCCCTGGCATCGGCGCCAAAAACTTGATGTGCTAGAATCGTAAGTGTGCACACAGTGGGCACAAAGTCCCCAAAGTGGCGGTGCAAGGGCACGCCGACACTATGATCGCTTCAAGTAATAAAGTGGTATAGTACCAAGATCGTTTCCACAGGGACTGGACTTACTAAGAATCAAAGACTTTCATGAACTTCTTGAGCATGTTTCGGTTTGATAAAAATATTTGAGTTTTGATTGTGCAAAGCTTAGAAATACGAAATAAACCTAATATTAAAAGATGGTATGGGTGTAAGCTTCCCTTAAGAAAATTGTTGGAACAGTTTGGTCAAGAACTCATGGGACTTCTATAAGAACTCCGATCTCTCGAAAGTGAATTATTATATACTGTGCCCACAGAGTACCCACAAAGCGTCCAGTTTTATCAACCTTAAACTTGCCGAATTAGCTAATAGATAAAAAGATATCTGGTTCCACTAGCCTGAAGATTTATACACACAATACTTTGTAGTATAAACTCGACTAATATCTAAACATTAGCTAAAAACATGCAGAACCCGCATCTCTGCTTGATTATCAAAGACTCTCTCGAATCTTTGTGTATCATCTAAGCCGTATTTCAGATCCGCCTATCTCTGGATCAAGGATCTAATATTAACACTACAAAGTGATCAACTTATCTGCGTTGAGCTGAAGTCCCGACTTAAATGACCAAGCTTAAGAATCAATAAAATTGGCAACACCCAAGTGCGCCTTCAAATTCTTAAGTTTGACTCACACCCACTCTCAAAGGGGTGCATAGCTCATAATAAAATTAGAAGACATGGAGAAAACAGAAGAAGAAAAATACATAAGAAATACTTGAACTGAAAATTACACTTAAACTGTTGCCCACAGGGAGTATACAATGCATAGTGGCGAGAACTAAAGACTAAATACAAAAATAAAATTAAAAGCATAAATTAAATTTGCTGTACTACTGTAGAGCTTGAGAGAATGCTCCAAGGTTGCTTGGCTGAATTGTCGATGGAGTGGTTGTCTTCCAAATGAGAGAAAAGCTTCAATATATAATGAAAAACTGAGAATCGGACAAACTCTTTGCCCAAAGGAAGAAAGTCTTCATTGTCAAGAGGGTAAAGACCCCCCATCACTTCTTGTCTACTTATCAGGCCTTGTCACTTTTTCTTGAAAGGTTGAAAAAGGTAAAGTTACCTAACCCTTAAATTAAGGAAAAGGTAATTAAGGCCTTTTCATTAAAATAATGGTAGGGTTGCTTTTAAGACATTTTTTAATCCAACAAGGCGCATTCTTCAAAATAATTCAAGACTTTCGGATCTGACTTCATAATTAAATCCCATTAATACCCAAGAGAGCCAGTATTTGAATTTTGTTCGAATCCATCTTGAAGAAAATACACCATAGGAAGAATGTGAGCAGAAAGTGGGCAGTTTACCAACAGCAATGAGTTTTTTAGAAAATGATGAAATTCTTGACCTTTCATCACCTCTTAACATATTTTGGACCAAAAATACAAGATAAGAGCAAAATGGGTACCAAAAACACAATAAAATAGGGGTATTGAATAACAAATAACTCTCACAAATTGAGAGTTATCACCCAACATGGCTGCAACACACTTTGAACCAAAGACGGTAATGATTCAAATGATCCAATCAATGGTTCAGTTTGGGGGATAACCATATGAAGATCCGCATTTTCACTTAAAATCATTTTTAGAAATGACAGATCATTTTCGTATTCCCGGAATTAAGGTAGAAGCCTTACATTTGACACTTTTCGCTTATACATTGAAAGATAGAGCTAAAGCATAACTAAATTCTCAGCAACCTAAATCAATTGACACTTTGACCAATTTGGCTGAAAATTTTCCAAAAAAAATACTTTCCTCCAACGAGGAATGTGAAGTTTAGAAATGACATTTTAATGTTTCAGCAATCTGAGGATGAAGCTGTTTCAGATGCATGAGAGAGATTTAAGGATCTTCTTTAGAAATGTTCTCGTCATGGAATCCCTCATTGCATTCAATTGGAAACATTTTACAATGGACTTTCCAATGCCGTTAAAATTTTCCTTGATGTTATGGTCAGTGGTGCTTTCACTTCTGAAACTTATAATGAAGGATGTGACATTTTAGAAAAAGTCGCCAATAATAATACTGAATGGTCAAACTCCCCTGTTGTTATTCCAAAAACTGCATCGGAAGTTCATGCTATTGATGCGATATCCGCCTTAAATGTATAGATTGTACCATAAATGAATCATTTGTTTTTTTTTTTTTTGTGGAGAATGTCATCCTATTGAAAATTGTCCAGGTAACCTCGTCTCAGTAAACTATGTTGGGAATCATACTAGAAATAGTCCATTTTCTTCCACTTATAACCCGAATTGGCGAAACCATCCCAATTTCTCGTGGGCCGAAAATCCAAGACTTAACCCCCTGAGACAACCATGTCCAAAGTTGACCATCAAATCCATTGGGATTCCATTAAGGTACTCCTCACGTTTATCAAAGTGGTCAATTCTCATAATCACATACGCCAAGGCAACCCAATACGTCGGAAGGTAATGGATCACTCGAATCATTACTTACAGGTTTTATAAACCAAACCAATGCAACTTTAAGAGTTTTGAAACCCAACTGAGCCAATTTGCCGTTGATCCCAAAAGTCGACCACAAGGGACCTGTCCTAGTGACATCAAAACAACTAAAACCTTTGATAAATAACATATAAAAAAGGATGGTGATTTACCCCGACCTAGTGGGGAACCTGGCTCACTCGACCCGAATGGGGACTAGGATTCCCTACTAAAACGGGTCATGGGGCGGGGCCGAGTATTGTACCCCCCGACTCGCCTCATACTCGATATATAACTGTATTAATATATTTTATATACTATATGTATATATATATATATATATATACATTATTTATTTATTTTCTAAAATTAGGTCTTAACCAAGGACGGAGTTCGGGTTTAACCGGGGTTTGACTAGAAAATAAACCGGGGACGTATGTTAATCCACGTCCGGGGCTGTTAGACCCCGTCATTCTTATTTGTAAAAGTAATGAAAAACATACAAGTGTGAAAGTGCAGAAGGTCGATGGAAGATTAGCCTGATGAAATCTTAAGTGTTCAATACAACCAGAGATGCGATGAAGGTCCATAGGTGCGATGAACAGCGCATCTCTATAACCCCTCTAGTCACCAACACTTGGAGATTTGAACAACAGTTCAACCAGAGGCATTCATTTAAGAAGACCCAAAGACTAATGGTTGAACATGCCTCTTAGAAGACAGCTGGAGATGGCAAATCGACAGCTGGATTCTCATTGCTTTATTTAGTTCAATATTGTTTCCATATTTCTAGATTTCCATCTTTCCTTAGAAGATTTGCGATATATCTTCTATAGATAGTTTTCTCCTTATTTAGATTACTAGTATAAATAGGTTTTATATTACTTGTAATCGTTTACGCTTCCATTCCATTAATCAATAATAGTGAATCCTTTGACACTCCAATTATTCTTTGAATATTCTTGAGTTCTTCTTCACTATTTTCCATCCACACGCTATATTTAGGTTATTCATAACTAAATATTCGTGTTATTGAGAGATCTGGGAACAACAATTGGTATCAGAGCCAATTGATTGTTTTCAATCAAAAACGATCAATTTGAATTTGAAGATTCAAAAATCTCTCAATTCTCCATTTATAAAAATTCGTCTTCTTCTCTTCAAAATTGTATTCTTCTATTCAAAAGTTCATATGGCTAACTGGAATTCTACATATAGTGTAGGTTCCCTCACGAAACCTCCAACTCTTAAACATGAAGAGTACCCTCAATGGAGTATTCGAATGGTGAACTTCCTGAAAGGGATGGACAGAAATCTCCTCAAATATGACATGGAAGGCCCATATGTTCCTCAGACTCTTGTTCCAAGAGTTCCTGGAACAAGCACCACTGCATAAGTTGTTGCCTACTACATGGTGAAAGACGAAAAGAACTGGGATGAAGACGACTTAGAACGTGTAGAGGCAGACAGGAAGGCAAAAAGGCTGATTATCATGTCCATTCCCAACGATATTTTCCAATCTCTCGATGCTTGTACAACAGCAAAGGAGATATGGGATGAACTAGCAAGCCAACTGGAGGGGGGCGCAAAAACAAAGAAAAATCGTAGGGCGCAATGCCTAAACGAATACACAAATTTCAAGGTGTTACTTGATAAACTAATTCAAAAGACATACGATCATTTCAACACATTGATTAATCAATGTCTCTGAAATGACATCGCTAGGACCAAAGAAGAAAACAATGTCCTATTCCTCAAAAGTCTTGGCGATGAGTGGACTCGACTATCGATGTCCCTCCAAGCAAATCAGGATTTAGATAGTTGGTCGCTTCATGAAGTCTATGGAACTCTTGCTACTCAAGAACAAGATATATTTAAGAGAAAGGTGTCCATCGGTGGACCCCTCGCCCTTGCTGCAAAAAGAGAAGGAAGTTACAAAATCTGAAGAAGAAGCATCTGACTCTGATGACCTCAAAGCTTTTGCCAAATCTCTGGCCTTGATAACTAAACAATTCCAGAAGAAGTTTGTCAAGAAGCCCCATGAAAGAAGAGACTCAAGAAGGGAGAAGTATCAACCTTCCTATGAACAGAAACCGATGAAGCTTCATCAGAAGGATGAAAGAAGAGAACGAAGAGAAGATAGATAAGAAAGAAGAGAGAACAGAAGAGAAGGAGACGGAAGGAAAGATGGTCTTCGCTGCTACAGATGTGGAAAGATAGGCCACTTTTCAAAAGGATGCAAAGGACGACTGGTCAAGAATGTTGACTACTACAAGAACAAGTACAAGTATAATCCTGAAGAGCGAAGCCTGATGGCTGAGAAAGAAAATTGTTTGTCTTACTCTTCGTCTGATGAAGAAGACAAGGCACTCATATGCCTCATGGCCAGGTCCAATGCAGAATCTGCCTCTGACTCCGATGACCAGGTATGTGATTCTTCCATCGATGAAACCAACTCTGCTTCATCAAAGCTAGAGTTAAGGGTCATTAAAATTTCAGAAGATTTTCTCAAACTTAAAAAAACTAAATTTTGAAAAATCTAAAAGAATAAAAACTAAAAAAGAAGTCGATTTCTACAAAAGAGAGACTGATCTTCTCACTAAAGAAAAGGCTGAATTGGTTAAGGAAAAAACTCGCATTGCATCACTGAAAAAATCAGAGGAAGAAAAACTTATGGATCTAAACAAAAGAATAACTAAAGATTTAGAAAAGAAGGTAAAAGCGTTGAAAAAATCTGAGCCAGAAAGACTTAATTCAGTAGCTCTTAAAGATTTACTCCAAAAATAAAGGAAGTTTCTTCATCAGAAGCTTCAAACCAATGAACTGTTGATGAAGAAATACAAAGATGCCCAAGATGTATATGAATGGACAAAAGGATTACCACAGAATTGGATTCAATGATCTCGACTCTTTCATTGAGACTAAGAAATCTACCCTTGAATCCACTTTTAAACTTGGATGTGTTCAGAACCCGATTTTTATCCAAAAGCAAATTTCAAAAGGGTAAAAGTTGATGGAAAAACCGTTCTCTTGAGGCAAAACTTTGAGAATGTGGTTTATGAGAGTAGAACGAATAAGAACCTTGATGAAACGAATGATGCCTTCAAACTAGAGTCTGATGGAAACCTTATGGTTGAACCAGAGCCTCTGGTTATCAATCCCACAAGTTCATCAGCAAGTGTTGTCGATGGAACAAAAACTCTTAGTAAGGAACCCTCATATGATGAACCGATGAATAATTCAAGTAATATTGAAAGTTCATCTGAGAAATCAGAAGCGATGGAACTCTCAACAGATCATTTTGAACCATCAACCTCAGAACCCATCGCTCCCAAAAACATCCATGAAAATTTTGACTTTGAAAAATCTACAAAAGATTTTCTAGATTCTGAATCTGAAGAAGAAATAATTTGTGAATCACAAGAGATCATTGTGGATAAGAAACCCCCAACTTCAAAAACCCCAATGAAATATGAAACTCCAGAAGCTATGTATTCTTCAGATAAAAGAAAAGGAAAACTGAAAAACGTTAAGTTTGCCAAAGATACTTTACAAGGCCCAATCCCTCGATCTAAATTTATTAAGTTTACTCCTGAACAGAAATAGAAGTGGCTTGCTTCTGAAAATTCTAACCTGCACTTTTCTTCTCCTTCAGCTAAAGGGAAGAAGCCTCTCCTCATGAAAGAAGTAAAACCCACCCTGCTCCTTTTCAAATAAAAAGTCTGCACTAGATAGGAAGTTTGTAAAAACAACCAATGCTAGGACAGAATCTTCACATTCTGTTTTTACTTCTTTTCCATCGAATAAAAAGAAATCATTTAAACACCCTTGTTCAAAAACTCCTAACTTCCAGTGTTTGACTCTTTTACAAAACCTGAGGAATCACATGTTAAATCATCGATGCATCTTTTTTGAGCATGTCTATCGCTATAAAAATATTAAGGCTCATGAAAACATGAAAAAGCCCAAGCCTACAAAGGCCGAAGACAATGAAAATAAACCCAAGCCTGCAAAGGCTAAGGGTAATGCAAATCAGCCCAATTCCAAGAGGGCTGATGAAAAGAAGAATGGGGTATCCCCGACTAACAAACGTGGACCCATTATGAAATGGGTACCTAAAAACCCTTAACTTGTCTTGCAGAACCAGCATGTGCAACCATGGTATATGGATTCAGGTTGCTCCAAGCACATGACTAATGATAAGAGTCAGTTGTCCTCCTTCATCCAAAAATCTAGAGGCTCTGTTACTTTTGGAGACAACAGTAAGGGAACCATCAAGGGATAGAGCAGTCTCATCAAAGGCAACATCTCAATCGATAAAGTGGCTTATGTTGAAGGTTTGAAGCATAATTTACTAAGCATAAGCCAGTTCTGCGACAAGGGTCTTGAAGTCAGATTTCGCAAAGGTTTCTGCATCATCGAAACAAAGCTC